TTTAGGGTTTAGGGTGAGGGTTTGAGGTGTAGCTCTCTTCAACTCTGGGGTGCCGGGTGTTTTGGTTTCGTTCAGATCTTGACCGAAGCCGGTGGAGCTGACATCCTCACTTTAGGGTTGAGGATTTATGGTTTAGGGTTGAGGGTTTGAGGACATCCTCATGGGCAATGCCTTTGACAAAGCGCTGTTGACCCAACCGGGCTCGACATCCAGCCCTGAACCAACATAAAACTCGTACAGAACCCCGTCGAACCCTACAAGCCCTATAAAACCTCATAGATCAAATCCTTTTTTGAACCCTTCTGCAACCCAGGTTAAGCTAGGAATCAGCACCCGAAAGATTTCCCAAACCCTCAAGTAGCCTCAGCATCCCCTAAGCCTAAGAAACACGAACCCAGCATAATAAACCCGACACCCCAAACCCCAAACTCCAACTCCTCGACCCTAGACCCCAAACCCCAAATCCTCAACCCCAAATCCTAAACGGAGAGGAGAAGAACGGCGTGCGTGCACACGCAAAGGAGATGAGTGAACGGGCTTTTGGGGTTCATAATCCCTTTGGGGCGAAGCGTTCCGGGATGTTCCCAGGGCTTTTGGGTTGGCATACTTTTTGCAGGGTTTCGTATGGTTCTTGAGAGATTGAGGGTTTGGGGTAAAGGGTATTTGTCTTCGGGCTTATGGGGTTTGGGGTTTCGGTGCCGTGGTGTAAAATTACAAGAGGGTTTCGTACGAGCTTATGCGGAATTGGTTCGGGTTCTTGTGCGGTTTAGAGTTTGAGGCTTGTTGGGTTTTGGGGTTCAGGGATCCGGCTATGGGGTTTTGGGCAAGGGCCTTGGGGCGTCAGCGGAGACAAGTGTTCGGACTGTTAGGTTGAGAGTACTTTCGTCGTGCACTTGTGCTTATTCTAGAGCATCCGGCTTCTTCTGCCTTTTGGTTCTTGCCTCATCTTTAGTTTGCAATGTAGCGATGTTCTCCCAACGCTCTTTTCTTGTCGGGTTGCCTCTTGCAGCTATTTTCAAAGCGCATTGGACCAGATCTCTCAGCCATCAACCCTGCCAAACCCCAGCCCATAATCCCTAATATAGAAGCCTAAAATAATTACCAACATTATTGTTAGGGTTCCTTTTTATAAAAATAGACTACAAAAGAGCCCCAAAACCCTATTATTAAAACAGCCACTACAATACTACCGCTTCGACACCCCATCGGCCCAGACCAATCTCACCATGACCCCTGTAATCTAGGGGCTTTCAGAATTAGAATAGGATTCTTGGGGGGTTCCTTATTATAAGTATAGTATAGCATACCCCAAGACCCTATTCTACCCTATTATAACTATAAAGGCCCCTTTGTTAAGCCCTAAACCCTATAAAGCCCTGTGCCCCCAATAGAAAGAACAGATATCCAACACGTCGAACAGTGCCTTGGCCCATGCCGGCACCGAAGCGCGCGCCGTCGCCAGAAACAGCCCAGGCGGGAGGTGGTGGTTTTGGGGGGTTCCGGATCTTGTTGGGTCCGGGTGGCGCTCGGAGTTCGTTGCGGTTTGATTGCATACCGTGCCGCACAGAGGTTGTTAGCAAGCTCACGGCATGAAATTTGGTTGTTTTCAAGAGGCCCTGAAACCTAAACCCAAAACCCTAAACCCACAAGCCTAAACCCTAAAACACAAACCCTAAACCCCAAACCCTGAAGCCAAAAGCCTAAACCCAAACCCTAAACCCTAAAACGCAAACCCTAAACCCCAACCCTAAAGCCAAAAGCCTAAGCCCAAACCCTAAACCCTAAAGCACAAACCCTAAACCTCAAACCCTAAACCCCTAAACCTTAAACCTTGAACCGATATGCAGCCGGGGTGTGGTTTCAGGTTGGGGGAGCTTTGAAGGCGCGCGAAGATCTCGGGGAGGGAGGGTTTAGGGTTTAGGGTCTTAGGGTTTAGGGTTTCGCGGTTAAGGGTTTTTAGGGTTTTAAAATTTAGGGTTTAGGGCCACCTTACTCTCCAATGCAGGACAACCTTCTCTATGCTAAGAATCCGAGAACAGAGAAGCCACGGGAACTACAGTAGAGCGTAGAGGTGAGGTTCCAAGTTGTGGGTGCCATTGCACGCCAGAACAGGCCAGATGCTGTACGGTTGCTTCTGGGAGGCGACAGAGGATCGAAGGCTCGTAGAGTGGGAACTCATATGGAGGCCTTCATAATGACCTATAATATTTTGGCGGTTCCTTATTATAACTACAGTATAACGGGCCCCAAAACCGCCCCAAAACCCTATTCTAATTGTTAAGGCCCCTCTATTACC